CTTCAAAATTGGTGGCTCAATCTTGATATTTGGTGAAGAATTAACGATGATATGGCTTTCCGATCAAAAACACCATCAATAAAGAATACAGACTTACCACCATTCCAGTATTGAAGCCTAGCAAATGTTTGTATGGATTTTATTTATTTTAGAAAGAAAAGCAAATGTTGAGAATACAATTCGCTAATCTTCCCGTGAAATTCTGAATCCAACGGTACCCTATTCATGGTATTTGAGCATGACAGGAGCTTATATTTGGTACAAAACCGATTTTGAGCCTTACTGTAATAATATATGTGGGGATACTTTAATATATGATGAATAAGGTTGTTTTTTAAAATTATATTTAAAATAAAAGAGTTTTATCTTATCATAAAACTTTTATTTAACTAATATAAAATTAGAAGTTACACATTTTTTTTAAGATGGAAGTTTACAGTTTGTTTTGATTCCTGTTATTAAATTACTTTTATTACTCATTAGGATTTTCAATAATATGCATTTGATGTCCGATATTTTGACACGTTGAAGTTTATATATTTATTGTTATATTGATTTATTCAATTTGAAATAAATAAAAAAAACTTATGACAAATAAAAATGTATTCTGTTTTATCAGGCTTAGTTGGTTCAGGATCTAGTCAAACAAAAAGTCCAAAATTTCTTTAATTTGTGCCAAAACTCTCCTTGATTACATCTAGAGTCAATGATGTCTCCACCATTTTGTTATAGTATGTTTATTTTTGGAAAAAAGAGGACTTATTATGTTTTCAGTTTCTGAAAAAATAATAAATATATTCTGAGTTTATGCAACAACTGAAAGTTACATTGTTTTAATATATTTTTTCATAATCACTTAATAAACTTGACCCTTTAACAATGGTGGAATTATATATAAGTCTATATATTCTCATATATTTAGTGAGAATTGGACCCAGGTGATATTGGGCTCGTATATGAGTCGAGAGCCTGTTTCCCTTTAAATGACAGGGTGTTCAGTGATTAATTTTATTTAAACGAAGTTGTTGCCTTTATATCAATTGTATAACAGTTAGATAAAAAAACAAAATAGAAAAGTTGTTTAAGGAACAATGCCTTAAATAAAAAGGCTAAAGTGGTGAGTAGAGGTGATGTAAAGTATTCCGTCACGAGGACATGGAGAACTGTCAGCTAATGCTCCTTCCGCCTCTAGTCCTCTGGGTCGCTCCTTCCTTCTTGATCATCATTGTTGAAAGGTTAACAATAACGTTACATTTTGGGTTTAAGAAGCTGATATTCAGAATTTATCTTTTCTTTTAATGCTCTCAATGATGCTAGATTTGAATTATTATTTATTTTTCAACAAAATTACAGTAACTTATCTGTCTCATGTCTGTTTATAAATTTTTTTATTCAAAAATATTCAAAATTGAATATGTCTTTGATATTTTATTATTGAGGTAATATTAGCAAACTATGTTCATATAGATATGTGACTTTCATTTTTTCTTTTTGGTTATGTATCTTGACGTTTGTGGTAAACTGCACTCTGTTGTCATAGTGCTATTTTACAAAAGTTACTTTATTGCATTCAACTTATTATTTGGATTCTAAATATAGGCTATTTTTTATTTATAAAATTTGGTCTAATCTTCCTGCCCAAAATATAATTTACTATAGAATATAAAACTATTTCAGCTATCTACTCTAAACTGCTCTAATGAAAATTTGGTTTGCATGAAATAGTTTATTTAATTAATCTAATGCATAATTTTTTTTCAAAAATGAAACTGATAGAAATTTTCTTTATACATCACTTAGTAAAACTGTCAATATATTTTTTTCTGTTGGCATTACAGACCTTGTACATATTTTGTCGCCTAAACAAGCCTTCTCCATTTCTGCCTATCTTTGGCTATTTATTTATTATTGAATATAATACAGAAAAGTTTAATTATAATTGAATATAAGGAACTTTTATTGATTTATACCCTTTTGTGCCATTTAGGCCATAAAAGTTTTGCATGTATTACTGCGTTGATACGTATTACTGCATAACTTCCTACTCCTGCAATGAAACAATTTAGATATTATATACTAATTACATATTATATACTCGTTCAAAGCTCACCTCTTCAACTACCTTTCCATCGCCTAGTCTAATTAATATTATGCTATATTAAACTCACTTTTTCCAATTATCAAATATTTCCCAGAGTTCATTTTAGTGCTATTCTTCACATCTTTATTATTATTATCATTTTTATTTAGCTTATTTGATTTATATTTTCTTTTTAATGCAGTTTTGTTGCTTTAGTTACCATACAAATTTTATTTTCATTTATGTTATTTTTCCATTTATTTTTTATTTATATTAATGAGTCTGACCACACTGACCTGGCCGCTATGTAGGGTAATGTACATTTTATTCTGAGGGAATTTGTCCCAGAATAATAAAGAAATTTTGAATTTTTTTTCATTTCATTATAATCAGCTGTACAGCTTCAGGTATTCATGTATTCATATTTTGTTTCCTATATCTCACCCCTAACTGGGATGAAGAGATTTCTTTTTTAAACCATAGTAAAGATTTTTTTGTCTTATAATTAATTTTGGTTATTTCATTTTATATATATATATATTCATTGTATATTATAGAAACAATTGGATAGAAGAAAAATGTTATTATTTTTATAATTTATTTATTCAATTCACAGTACAACATCATTTATCACCCTTTTTTCAATTATGAAATTGGATGCTCATATACTTTTATTTTCAATAACACTTTGAAATATAGACACATATAACAACATACATCTAGTATAATATTTAAATATGCCATACATTACTCAGAGATGAAATAATTTAAAATAGAGAATTTTATTTTGGATATGTTTTAAGATATGTTTGTTTATGCCATAGGCAACATGGAATATCACAACTACATTAATATTTAAAATAGTAATAAAAATTTACACTTAAATAGTAACAATGAAAAGTTTATATTTAGTGGTTTTGCCATGGTGTTATAACCCTCTCCGTATACATTTTCTAGATAACGGCGCTGACACTTAAAAAAATATTGAGATGTTTAAACATTTTTTTCTTTATTCAGATGTATACGGTGAGATGGTTAATTTAATTGTACCATGCTACTAGTGATATGTATTGTGAATGGTTTTGGTTCGCCTTCAATTTGGCTTCTTACTATCTAAAAATCTTAGCATATTAAATATAACCACAATTACTATGAATAATACAGTATACTTTTTAAATGAATTTTACAACCACATTTTAATTTAATAATATATAAAGCATAAAAAAAAAATCAATGGGATACCATGTAATTTCAATTTCACAATGCGGCCAAGATAGTAATTAAAATTAATTTAAATTCCTAATATATAAGTTGAATTAAATTTTATTTTCATATTGCTTTATGAAGCTATTATACATCAATAGTCGTATTCCCCTTTGGAACAATAAATAAAATAAGCACATGAAAAATTCCCCTTAGATTTACAAAAACATGCTTTTAAATTGCTTTTAAACATAAATAGACTATTAAGGGAGTATCAAAGAATTCTACTTCTATTATCTCGTAATATACAGTAAAATAAGTGCGACACCAATTTTAGAATAAAATTACACTTTATTTTATTTACACATATTTTTACTACTTCCTAGTAATATACAAAAAATAAAAATAAAGTAAAATAAAAATAAATAAAGGAAATGATCCTACTTTTTTAAATACAAAATAATTTGCACTAAATATAAAAGCTACCATTTGGGCAAAAATACGTTAAATATGCCTTTTTAATTTCTATTTTGAGGCATTCACATGATATGTTTTTATTTAATATCTATCAGACAATAGGATATGTATGGGTTGCTTAGATCATAATGATTCTATTTATTTTTTATTTTTGTCAAATTGTTTATGACAGTTATAGCGAACCTCTTATTGATGTGAGAAAGGTGACAATCTCAGAATTTTTAATGACAGCCTACATCAATGGATTTACTGTCCCGAAAAAAAAAGTATTAATAATAAATAAAGCCAACACAAGCACTACTTTTGTTTTATTTTCAGTTTTTGATAGACCACAATTGAAAGATTCAATTTCAACTTCTTCAATTCACCACATGTTCTAGCAAACATAGCAGATTTTAATACTGCTCAATTGTTTGCCTGCTTGAGATTAGATTATGAAAACATTTTTAGAAGTGAAGAAATTATTATAAATTGAAAAACTGTTTGCCATTCAATCACTGAACACTTTTAGAATTCTGGAAAAATCAGGTCATGATATTAATAATAATTTTTCCAGATACTTTGTTTAGATCTTGTTCTCAGTGTTTTATAATAATAGAACTGATAAAAGCTCTACTGAAAAGTGAAATTAGCGATGTTTAGCTTTTTGTTAGATAACGAATACCAATTTAAATTATCCATAAAAATTATAAATAATTAAAAAAAAATTGTTTTCTGCATAATTAAATGAATTATAATCATATATTTTTTTAGTGGGACTGTTTCACAAAGTTATTGATATTTTGTGGTCGTGAAATGGCACCCGAAGTTAATAGGTTTTTCCACCGCTTATGAGCTCAAAAGGTTCGCCATTACTGGTTTAGAGAATAAATTAAATCATTTATTTTAACATGTGTCGTGATGGTTAGTAAAATTATGTCTGGGGTGTTTGACCTAAGGAGTGTAAATTTAACTTTTAATATGGGCATTGAAAAGATTAATAATTTGTTGTTTCTATGTATAATATTTTAAGTGATAGTATTTGATGTTTGTTTCTTTCTATTATCATTTTTATTTGATCTATTAAAAATGATTTTTTTTAAAACTTTTTATACTGAGAACATCAAAACTTCAGACTTTTTTTTAGGTCTAACACTATAAATAACTGCGTGTTTTTAAGAATTCCAATATTATACAAAAATTATTAGAATGTGTACTAATTATTTTACTTTTGCACCTATAATTAATGATCTATGTTCTTCACGTATTATATATTATTATTATTTTTTTTAAACCATCATTGATGTTTTTAGTTTGAATTTTTAATAATTACACATATTTTTTTTAGTATTATTAAATTAACCTTTTTTGATTTTCAATCACTGACACATGCTTGATTCTTATTAGTTAATTTTTAATTTTACCATTTAGTTTTATCTTTTGACATTATAAATAATTTTTTATACATTCTAAGAATCCATTTTATTAAATTCAAAAATAGTCTTAAATGAACACTTGAGTGATAATTCTACTTCTTCTAAAAAACCAACAATAATTACGTTTTAGAGCATTTTTTAAAAGTTTGTTTTCATTTTTGATTTTACTGAAGCTTTAAAGATTTTTTGAAAGACCTATACATTTTTTTTTTTTTTAATTCTATGAATTGATAAAATCATTTGAAAACTATTTTTGATTCTTATAACTTTTGATATAAGGCCAAAATGTATTTTTATTTTCTAAAAAAAATTAATTTTTCAAAAATTTTTTTTCTCCTTATTTTTAAGAATCAAATACCAATTACCAGTCTTCAGATGTCCAATTAATATCTTAAAATGATTCATAACAATTTAAATGTGTCACAGTCAAACCTGTGCTCTAATAATGTTTCCAATCCTCCACGGCTAGTGCACCATAGCTGGAAGAAGACAAATGAGTGTGCTCAAGGGATAAAGAGCCGTTGAAATAGAGGAAGATGTCCGCTCCATATTCTTGCCAACGCAGTTCATCCGCTCAAGGGGCATCGCTTGGACGGGAAACTCTCTGTGTTCTTTTGGCATCGTACACACTGTTCGCTTTTTCTGCATCATCTCATCATCTTTGTCCCTAAGACTCTTCAGCCATGATGCATACCACCTCAGTTCACAATCACATTCTAACGGATTATCTAAAATTAAGAAAAAGAAAAAAAATATTGTTAAATAAGCTACATTAACATACAACATACATAACAATAAGACCACAAACCAAATAAGTATGCTAATCTAAAACTACTTTTAATATTTTTGTTATTATTCAATTCCCGTTAAATTTGTGGTTATGCTCATTTTTGTTCATAGTGCTGCAGATCATAGAGACTGATTTTACTTCCCAATTATCTTTATAGTATATTAAATTAATCAATTCTTAATTATTATTACTAATTATATGTAATATATATTTTTTAAATATTCAATATACCATGCAGATATAATATTAAGAAATAATATCTACTAATTATTACCAATTAATAGTACAAATTAAATGACCCTGAATAAGAAGATAAAATTTTATTTTATATGTGTAGAAGGCATTATTGATTTGCTGTAGAAATTGCAGGTATGACTGCCATTTAAAATAACAAATTCACTACAAAATATTTTTTTAAATATGAGTGACTTAATTGAAAAACTTTAAGCTAAATTTTTGTTAATAATTTCTTTATTTCACAGAAATTTATTTTAAATGTTTTAAAATCTCATGCAGTTTTACTGGTATTAGAATTTATGAATTATTTTATCAGTTTGTAAATGTGATTATGGATTTTGTTCCTTAAACTTTCTGTTAAATTAATAATTTACCTATTTAATGATTTAAACAAATAAATTGGATATCAGGTAGGTAGAGTAGGAGTTTAAGAGCGATCAATTGTGAGATTATTATGCCTGAAATCGGATTAACATTTAATAAATTAATAAAACTAGTCTTTAACAAAAGAAAAAAAATTATGGCTTAAAAAGTTTGTGAGAATCTTCTTCGAAGATCATTGTGTTACTGCCTTAAGTTTTAACTATCAATGTACTGTGCATAAGGCAAATGTAAACCCGGTTTTGTCAACGGGGTAATATTCATTGCTCACTGTCACATGGAAACAAGGGCCTTGAGTGGTGCCATAATTGATGAGCCACCCGGTGGTTGATTAAGGCGAGGTAAGACCAGACCACTTGGAGATTAATATCTTTTGGTGAGAGCTTACCCATTATGTCTACCACTCTAAGGGTGTCCACGATTGGTTCCATGATTTCCTCGGGGATGTGCACCAGCTTGTTGTTTTGAAGGTTTAGAGTCTCCAGTGAGTTAAGGTTCTCGAAACCCAATGGTGGCAGGGTGCGGATGCTGGAACAGAAATTTTTATAATGTTAATATATAATATTTATATGCAGTAAATTAATTGATTAGAACACCCCCATCATACCATTTTTTCTCATCAAAACAGAGTGCTTTTAAAAACTGAAAAAATAATATCTTTACTCTATTTGTAAATATAATTACATTTTTATTCGAATATTAATATGGATTTATAAATGCTGTCAATTGTATAGAAAATATTATACAGGGTATTTCTGGGTTAAGTGGCCGAGTTGCAAAAATGAACTAAGGACTTCAAAACAAGAAAAAAATTTCTTCTGAAGATATGTCTGCAAACGCATTGTTTAATAGATATTCGTACCTAAAGATTTTCGTTGTTATGAATTATTTAAGTTATATGAAATAAATAAAAACTATTTATTTTTTCTAACTACTTTATTAATAAAATGTAATTAATTAATTGCAACAGCAGCAGTGGCATAACGGCACTGGATAGGTGTTATTGTTTCACAAGATTCAATTATCCTTGTTCGTAAGGAATTAAGGTCATTGACCGGACTTTAATTCAATTTTTTGCCTTGAAATTCTCAGGCATGAAGTAGCTCAGATTAAGATGGTAAGTACTTACTCATTAAAGTGTTGCTAACTTTTTGCCTTGGGGTTATTCCTTAAGTTCTGGTGGTCTAACAATTAATATTGGGACTACTCACAAATAATTAATTAAAACAAAGGTTAAAATCAAAAGAAAAAAAATATGTTTATTTAGTTTAATTTTTTCTTTAGTTTATTTTTTCGTTTGTTAAATATTAATTCACATGAACTGTGGGTTGTTTTTAACAATTCAGATTATTAAATCTGAACTATATACATTATTTCGTACCTTTACTTCCATTCTATTCTGTTTTGAAAATTGAGTTAAGGTGTGACACTAGCCGATCCAGGATTTAATTTTGGGAAGGCTTCAGCCCCAAAGTTTTTTTTTTCATATATATATATATATATATATATATATATATATAAAACGATAATTATTTAGGAAAAAGAAAGAAAGATACTAACTATCTGCATGAAATGGTGTTTAAATGATTCTTGAAGACCTATTGAATGTAATTACAAGAACAACTTTAATAGATAATTTTTCCATAAAAAGTGGATGCATTTTACCATTTTTTGGAGAGAGAAGGGGAGGAAGCATCAGCCGGAAAGCCCTCCCCTCCCCCCATAGATCCGGTGTGATACGGATTACTCTGCTTGTATTCTTATCTGGCTCTGAAATATTTTAGTTTAGAAACCCTGAACTTACAGTAGGATTGGGAAAAATTCACTTCGGACAATCAATATCTGTACCTCGGAGGTAAAGGACAACGTTTTACATTTTTTTATTTGTTTAGTGGAGCTGATTTTCCATCTTCCATTTTCGACTAACCGAAAGTGGTCCTTTATAATATGGACTATACACATTTTCTCGAAAACGGCTCTAAGGATTTTGATTAAATTCATTATATCTGTGTACAATTAAGCTGTTTTAAATAAAATGTAGTTTTTATTCTGATCGATGTTCTCTAACAGGGCTTTATCAATGGCTAATTTTCAATATTAGCGACCGCTAAAGAACCTTTAATTTGTTTTATTAACAATTGACCATTTCACATTTATCTCTAATATAAAAGATGGTTAAATATAAAATATGAAATAATTTGATAATTAACTAAAAGAGAAATAAGAGATCGTAACGGAGAATAGTTGTAATTGAGGAACCAAAGGAATACGATCGCATCCAAGCTCACCCGAAAGATAGAACACGCTTCCATTCGTAACATGAGCTTAATATAATACGGATTCCGAAAATATTATGCAAATATACATATACGGTTTTCATAAATACTATTGTTGGAATTATTTAATATTTAATTATATAGAAAACATCGATATATATATAAGGATATTTACACAAATAAAAATACCCACAATGAAATACAAATAAATATAGCGTATATAATTTTTACTTTTACTTCCCCTTTGTCTGAAAATACTTATTTATTCTAGGAAGAGGGCAAGTGAAAGTTGTGTGATGCGCGCACCGCACCAGATTTTTGAATTGGTCAGGGTAGCCAATTTTCCATAAATTTGAGCTATTAAAATTTGTTTCTTAGTTACTAAATTATTAAATAAAAAAATGGGTTTGGTGCCGTTTCGGATACCTCCGGGGACGAGATATATTAATTTTATTCCCTGATCATTATCGTATGACCGCAATAACCAGACTAGGAGTATAGCGGTATTGTAGAAGAAACCGGTGAGCTGGAACAAACTGAAAGGCCCGTGTGACTTTTACCCATTGTGAAGGAGCATCCAAGTCCTCCTTTATACCTTTATATTATAAAGGTCACCGGTCATTTATTGACGCAGGTATGATCGCACGTCTTCCTTCAGCTCGTATTTCGTGAAATTTAATATCGTATGAAAATTATATAAAATTCTACGAATTACTTTGATTTAATGGACTGTTGAAGAAACTTCGAAGAAGAACGTACTAACCAGTGACAAAAAAACAACAACAAACTTTTCATGGATCATTGGAACGGGTTAGTAAAAATTCTACTTTACCAACGAATAACTTTTGTATCACTTTTAAGAAAAATAGTAGGTTAGGGATCGGAGTGGGGCAGGGTTGACTTTTTTGGGTAGTGGGAGGAGGGGAAGAGGCAGGATTTCAGGATCACCCATGCCAATATGAAAACTGGCGTAAACGATTTTTTGTGCTCATATCTCATTTTATTCAACTCGAATTTTCATCGAAATTGATTGATATTCTTCTATTAGTTTACTCCTCTTTCAAATGTAATTCATCCTAATCTATTTTGTACATAGTTTTTTATTTATTTTTTTTAAAGCCTGTTCTTACAAGTATTTTGCAACCTGTAGGCCTCCCCTTGCTAAGAGGATAATGGCCTAAATTTCCTCGAGAACCAGCTGTATTGGGAATTTATATACATAGTTAGAATATGTAAATAATTTAAACTTTAACTGGTCGAGTTGTTAGTCAAACTAGGTTTCCAATGCATGTATATCACTAAGGGTCATGAAGAGAAACCAATCTCGCTCTTTATAGTACTTGGAACAAAATATTAATATAAAGATATTAAATAATTAAAAGAAATAACCTTAAAACTTGGTTGGCCGATCCTTTTTGAACCTTGGGCCTACATATCACAAGTGAATTTAATGTAAGGATTCATTATTACCACAGGTTCACACTTACGTGTTAGTGTACAGTGATAAAAGTATATACGATATACGAAATTCGCATTTATAATTCACTGGATTATTTGATGGAACAATTTCTCACTGGACATGAGGGATTTTGCACCAAGCTAATGTAAGCTAATTGGGGAAGGATATGAACCTCCTTTGCTTGTGTTATGGTGTTCAGAAATTTACTGAGCATGTCGTTTCGCGCTGCACAACTTTATGAGGCAATAAGGGCTTATCTGGGGGCGGGTTGACCAAGCGGACTTAAGTGTGTGCCAAACACGCGTTGCCTGGTAAACCAAAGTTTATATGACAAAATAATTACGAGTTCGTTTCATGGTGCCTGGTGGATTTGTAACTCTGGTACTAATCCCCGATTAGCCTACAGAGGCGAGGAAGGGATGGACAAAAATATAAGGGCTAATCTACTAAGGAAAACCGGAATCTACGTTTACACAGAGGAAGATTTCCTCCAACTGGTCTGTTCGGCGAGGTACATGCACTACGAAGGTTTCATGTACGGATTGAGGGAACTAGTTTAGGCAAACCGCTGTAATCTACTTCAATAAAAAAATATTAGGAAAAATAAAGAATTTGCTGAAATAACAGCAGGATAAGCATGAATGAATACATAATTCATGTAATCATAGTATTAGGATTAGTTTTCTTTTGGAGTTGTATTCGCAAGATTATGGAAGTTCTGAGTTATTGATTGAAAAAAAGTCCTTTAATTGACACTGAGTATGGAGAAGCTATTGGGCATAAATTGATGATTTTTTCATCTTTTGTAATTTCATACTAAATAATAAACAAAAAACAAAAAAAAAAGTTAAAAATGGTGATCGCAGCTTGGTTTCAAAGAGAGACATTGAAAGCTTGTGCCAATACATGTGAGAGGAACGTTCTAACTTAAAAATCGATATTCTTTATCGGCATCGCTGCGGATTATAGTGCTATTTGTGATTGCTATAATGCAATGGATAGTAATACAACTATTTCGTATTCACACAGAACTCGATAATCCGTCACGATACCGAAGGGTATGGTATCGCCTTGACAAATCGCGTTCTTTGTGTAGGAGCCTTAATGGTTAAGAGCGATATAGTTTATGGTTTATGGAGATACCCTTAATGGTTTTTGGTTCAGTACTTACTAAGGAGATACTGTTTCATGACCAACTTGACCAACATAAGGAAGTGGTGGAGGTTACCTCCAAGCACAACCGTCAGGCAAAGCACGTGAGCATACAGTTCAGTATTATATAAAAAAAAGAAAATATTATTATATAAAAAAAAGAAAAAGAAAAAAAAAAGCGAACGTGCTTTCAGTTAATATGCCTGTTTAGTATTGATTTTTATTATTGTGTTCTTGTATTTGCTCATTGATTGGGATAACATAAGAGCTTTACTATAGACTCGTGTCATGTATCTACAATTAGGCACCATAGTTCCAAAGAATTAACCTACCCGATACAAAGGAGAAACAAATTCTTAACAAAACTGGAATTTTAATGTGGTTCCTAGAATAAAATATATATATTCCATGCGACATTGCGTGACGAAAATGATTTAACGGGACCTATAAAAAATTTGTAATACTCGGTATCAAATAGTAAAATCTATCCTGTAACTAATAGTTTACTCTGGGCCTAACTGATTGTTAAGTCAATTCATATTTTATAACTGAATATAGTAAACGGAACATTCATGGCGGTCTTAATTTTTCAACAGAACGTTTGAGTTGTCTAAAAAGATACTAAAAAATAAATAAACAAATTTTAAATATTCTTTAGAGTTGGGTAAACTTCAATTAATATTTCATGAAAAATGTTTGTTTATTTAAATATCAAATGATGTGCCTATACTTATAAATTCTACAATTTGAACTTTGTTTTAAGTAAATTGTCACTGTAAAAATATTTATATCAGGATATTAGATGACTATCACAAGTTTTCAGTCAACTATTTTTTGATTTAATAATATTTTTTTCTATAAATATTTATTATGTCTATAATAATTTACGATTAACGGGATTCATATTGTAATTGAATAAATCAGTCGAAATATGTCATGATTTAATTCCTTCGTTTGTGATAAAATATGTTAGATTTGAATGTTTATTCAATTTCAAATCCAGATAGAGGAAATGATTAGATCTCTCGTCCACTGGAATCGACAACGCGCGACTAATCTGCAAAGCGAAATCAAGCGACCAACTGACTGTGATCTCCCCTTGTTCGCGACATTAGACTACAATGTTATGTTTTTAATGATAATTTTTTTTAATGATTGAAATAAGCTTGTTAAATTAATTGATAATAATCATTAATTAATTTGTATTATTATTAGTATTTGAATGATTTATTGTAAAGTTAAACTAACAGTAACTAACAGATTTCAAGTTTATGTTTTTTTGTTTTTAAAGTTCTTCCCAAAATAATAAAAAAAATGATTGGCCTGGAGTTCCATCGCCCGATTGTAAATAGTGTATATAAGCATATCTTTTTTTTTTTTTTTTAATTTACCTATCTTTAAGTTATTTTATTTTTATTTATTGTATTTACTTTTTGATTATTATTTAGTTGTTATTATTCTACTATTTATTTTCCCTTTTCTGTCGATATAGTGTGGGTGTGGTCATACCTCACTATAATTATTTTCTAAGAGACAGAATATTATTTTACCCAAAATCAGACAATTCATATCTATTTAGTTTACAAATTATGATGTATTATACATAATACAAACATATTGAAAAAAAATCCACAAATTAATTATTAATCATTAATCATTAATTAATGATCTTTATCAATTTTTTTGGTTCTCCTTTCTCGCCTTTTAGGCTATACGGAATTTTTCCGGTTCAGAGGAGAAGGCGGGGGATCAATGCCACGGTCACAAGCTTTTCTGGGGCACCAGGACGCGAATTTGTAATTATTTTATCATGATAATCCCAGTTTATCAATTGCCGGGCAACGCGTGTTGTACCCACGCGTTCGCCCGCTCGGCCACTCCGTCCTCTGATTATTGTCAATTAATAAATAATTAATATGAAAGGTTTATTTAAATATAAAAACTTAATTATCTTCAAAACCTTACTTACCTAGTTACTTAGCTTCTGATCTTACACCTTTTCTTCGTTCCACTGTTTCGCTGTCATATTACTCGCGTTTCATAGCGGCTCATTTTGACCTCATAAATATTTTGTTTAAAAACTAAATTGATTTATTTCTCGTTATCCATCATTGTTGAGCGACAATAGTAAAAAAAAAAAAAAAAAAAAGAATCGTTGGCGATTTATCGTGGCTACTCTACGATGTGCACTGTAGTCAAAATAATAATGTGCCACTAAAACTATGTTGCGTATTTTACCTACACGTTAATGAGTTGAGGTAGCACAATGTCACTTTATGGGTTAGTCACTTGTTTTTGTTACCAGTGAACAAGATTATGAAAACAGATTTTATATCCCTTATGTCTTATGCTTTTCTATTTTTTAAATATAGTAATAATATACTAAAAATATTTTTCGTTTTGATTTATATAAGAAACATTTTTTTTGGACTTCATTATCCACCTTAAAACTTACATTACAATATACAGAAAAATGGATAGATTTTATTCTGTTGATTGATCAACGAAACTTACACGATCATTTGTGAATGAAAGTCACAAGAATGATAATGATTGCTAAGGATCGCTTTGATCATGATGACCTTTACAAGTACAATCATTACTGACCATTTTAGTTCAGTTGACATTAAGGTAACAGGCAGCATGGATCTGGTGGATTGTCCACTTATAATAATGTGTTTAATTTAAAAAGCTTATTTGAACATTCTCCTTTATATTATTGGACATCAAGAGAAAAATGGAGATAATAATAATTGCTTCCTAGTGCCTGAAAATCGTTTAGACCAAAGTTATAAAAATATAAACTTGGGATATAAAAAACTATTTACTTTTATGAATTTATTTACATAAAAATCAAGAATGTTCAATGGTTGTGAGACCTAGGTAAACTAATCTATCTAGTAGTAAGGTTAGCCTCATAGAAAATCGGTTTGACAATAGTTAGTAAAATATAAGTCTACTACTTACACAAATTAAGGAAAGGTATTGCGAAAATAATAAATTTGTTAAGAAAAATGGGAAAAAACTGATTAATATACACAACAGTTAAAGATTAATTTTTTCTTTAAGTAAATTGTGAAGTTTCCATTTTTTGTTTTAAATCTGTTGCCTATTTGACTATTAAAAAAAAATAGTTGAAAGTGGTTTATAAAATATGAACAAGGGGTATGAAAAACTATTTAACTATTTACTTTTAGTCAAAATCAGGAATTTATAAAGGTTGTGAGGCCTAGGTAAATTAACCTATCTAGTAGTTTGGTTAGTCTCCCCACTATTTTTACCTCGGTCTCCCCTCCACTTCTCGTGAATGAACCTTTGATATCCGGATTTTCTTAAATCCGCCAAACACGTCCATCAGTACTTCATTCACTACCTTACACGATCATTCGGAACATTAGGGCGTCGGAATGCAATTCCGAATGACCGTGTAGGGTCAACGCAATGCTCTAATCACACTCTCGTTCAAGAATACCGTAACACTCATAAATCCAAGAAGTATAACAGTATGAAATAAAATAAATCGCTACTTAGGAGTCACTCACTCATTTTTTTGAAGGTTGAGGAATGTTATGGAGTCGCCGAATCCTGTGAAAGCGTCCTCAGCAATGACGGATATGTTGTTAGACCTCAGATCAAGGTGGCGCAATCGGTGTAGCCTTCGCAAAGCGTCGCTGGGGATGGTGTGCAGGTTGTTGTCGCCCAATCTCAGGTACTGCAAGTTTTCTGTAAAAAAAAAAAAAAAAGATGTATTAATAGAATGAAGTTCATCATCATAAAATCATAAATCCCGACTTAAAATAATCAACTATCCACCAATACATAATGGCGACGGTGGATATGCTGCTTAGGTGGTGACTTAAAAGGAGCAAGATGAGAGATCTCCTTTCCTGATTAAAGGAAGTAAACAAAGACCAGAAAGAGGTGCTGCTGGGTACTTCTTCCTCATGCCTAAAATGCTATTATTACCAACAACTTATCTGCTGATTGTCAGTTTCATGGCAGGTGCGAATGATGGTTTAAAGAGAAAAACTATAAAGTTTCGAGGTATGCATAGAAACAGAGGGTAGGAGGGAAAAAAATCACTGTAAAAATGTATTTATGAACCCTGAGACAACTCATATATTAATCCCAAAAGTAGACTGCAATTAAATGGAAAATAATGTAGTAAATTAAAAAAATTGGCATATTAAATCACTTTTTTGTCATAATCCCAGTTTCATAAAAGGCTTGTTTTTAATATTTTCTGTTAACTTTCCTTTTATTGTCTGTCTGTTACATTTTCTGGTCTTTCTGGTGAATTAACTTTATTTAATAAATCCAACATAATTGAAGATTTGCAGATTTACAAATGTTGGCTATTGGTACCGACCACGGATTGGTCGACCGCCTAATTACCCCCTTTTCAAGATCATTTATACAAATAAATGATACGATAAATAAATGATGATGAAAAAAATACAAACTTGGAGAAAATTTGTTTATAAACTTGAATCAACTTTCACAACTTGAATTGCTTTCACAACTGAATTCATTTATAAAATATATATATATTTTTTTTGGATCCTCTCCTTCCAAGCCTTTAAGGTTATACGGGATTTTCACGGGCTAGGGAGTGAGGGCGGGAATTAAAAAGATTCTCCCCGGCACGTGGATGCGAACTCGTGACTATTTTTATCTATTAATCTCATGTATCAGGTTGTCGGGCAACGGCGGTGCTGTGCACACACGATAGCCCATTTAGCCTCCTCGCCCACAATTTATAAAATGTTGAAATATATTGGCAAGATATAATACGAGAATATTGTTTAGGAACACCCTTGTTAGGAATAATTATCTCGAAGATGGCGCAAGAACCTACCTTCCCCTTCCTTCCTTCCAAGATATTTTATTCCTTACCTTTTCCTAAAAATAGAGCAAGCTAAAGTAGAATTAGAAAAATCATAGATCATATACAATTACACTTGCTGCGGTATGTTTCACGTTTTTTCCCTTGTCCCTTACTCCTAAAATTCATAACTCCGTCAAAATATGCCCCCCTCAAAAATTTTGAGACCCTCATGAAACCTCCTTCTGGGCACCTCCTCTTCTATAACACTCCATCAAAATTTAGTTTTGATTTACTTTAATATGTTGCCTAATGAGGGTTGAGAGTATTAGGTTTGTACTGTTTCAATATTCAGTTAAACCGACTGAAATAAATATTTCTTATTTGTATTGTATTGCTCGGAGCGGATTAAAATAATAAATTTATATAAAAAAGTTAAATATTTAAAAAAAAAAATTGATCCCCATAAGAGCACAATTTCCTCTAGTGTGTTTGGAAATCAGTTTCGAATTTCGAGAACGACGTGACAGGAATCCGAAATTATTCGAGTGGAACCGTGCATTACAGGTCCTACTAAATTTATTCAAAGGGAGCTTGATGGGATTTGACGTTGACTGATATATCTTTTTTTCTCGTTAGGGAATAACAATTAGATTTTTTATTCAAACTCTGTATTTATTATTTTATTAGACAACTTTCACTTACCACTATACTTTCAATTGAAATTAATTGTTTAAAAAATTAATAAACCTTAAGAATATTATTTTGATTTTAAGCTTGTGAAAATTAATATGAAGTATGATAATTCTCTACACTATGTACCGAAGAAGGATGAGCCCACCGGAGAATTTAGACAGTTATACAACTCCGAATGGTGTGAAATATATTCGGTTAATATAATTGAGATGATTATATTGTGGTGAATAAAATGTGTGTCTAAGAACCCCTAAAAGGTTAATAAGCGCTTTAGCGATTGGTAAACGTCCTATGGGTTGACCGAAGCAAAGGTGGAAAAATTGCCCGAAATCGGTCTTGGTCTTGCACTTTGCATGTATGTGTATTATACTTATACAGGCAATCGAAAAAAAAAAGAGAGTTTTAAATAAGAAAAACTAAACCATGCATACGTACTGCATACAGGTTTATTGCCTAAGAGGCAGGCCTGGTTATTAAATAAATAAATAATGTTTTAAAGAGGTACTTTTTGGAACCATATTATTTTCGGTGCTGCGATGTTTTATATTTCCGACTCATTCTTACAGGCTGTTCCATGACACTTTTGTGGAATGGTATATTACCCTTGGGCATTGCCTCAGAGATCTACTGGCTCTTTCAGCTTTGAATAATGTCAAGAGCCTTATACGAAAGCTATTATTATTTATTCGGTAGCTAACGGCAACGGCCATCCATATTTTAATCGAGGTTCTCAGACTCAGAGACGAACTGCTCACTCGCAGTATGTTACTTCCATTTAACTGATCTTTCAGATATAATTGAATATAATATCCTTGGTATAAAATATAACATATCGTTGAAATATAATAAATTTGAATAATAATAAGCTCCTTTCTCTCCATTTTCTATTTTAATATTAGTTTTTTTGGTTTATTATTTTCAATAATGAACCATTGTGATCGAACAAAAAATTAAAAAGCTTAACCCCCTCTCAAATTTTGAGGTTTCACGTTTCAGGATACGTAGGATACGAAAAACGAATAAATTATTTTTTGTTCGTCCGCCGTCCGCGCATTTCCTCCGAAACTACTGGACCGATTTTTTTTTCAAATTTGGATTTACAATTAGAGGTAACCCGAGGATGATCCTCCTTCATCGACCTTTCTATCCGCCTTTTCTTTTCAAGATGGCGACCGAAAAACCTGCGTTGCTATAGCTTGTATCGCCTAAACGAATGTACCGGTTTCAATGAAACTTCGCTAAAGTCTTCTTCTCGATGCCTTTTAAATTTATTTATATAACATACTTTAACGAAAAGAAGCTGGGAAAATGTTTTTTGTTTTTGATTTTTGAATGTGTTACTGAAGTGATGCTATTTTTTTTATATTACTAATGATTCCAAAAAAAAAAAAATGTTTAGTCCAATAATTGGAATCACCTTTTATTTCTTTTTCTTTGTCACTAGGAAGGTAATGTTAGTTTAGATGTATAATTGTTTGGAAGTAATTAACCATCGTGAAATAATAGTAACAAAGTAAAAAAAATCAAATGTTGCATTATGAATATGAAAAGAATGTTTTCTCTATTGAGTCGATATGATGCTAATAATATTTACCTATATTTAAGATGCTTTTCATTAAACACATTGAAAAACTTGGTACTTAATATTTCTTCTTTTGGAGCTTTTAAATATTTAAAAATACAAAAACAAAGATTTTCTCTTCCTATAAACATTGTGGACTATTTCTTTCAAATTGACTGCATATAGCAGTAAGAAAACATCGTGATATTATCTATTAGTTTTGGATTCTCATATGGCTCCTAGTGTTTCGCTTTTAGAAAATGATTGGCTTTCATTCTTCAAACCCAAACATTGCACCCAAGAGGTAATGCCAACATTATTCGCTGGATCAACTGAGGTATTTGATCGAATGGTTAAGTCTTAGTCGCTTATGTTTTCTTTTTTATAATTTAAAATAATCTTAATTATGGATTTTGTAGTTCACTCTTTCCTTTAGAAGGCATAGCACATAGGTGCATATGATTTTTTAGGTGGTGAACTTTACTATATTGGGGAAATGGGGAAGCAAGATGGATCAACTCCTGGATATGAGAAGACAAACATGGAAGAACGACCATGATATGGTGACATTTGGCTCTGGTACTGGATTTCTCGTTTAATATAAAATTATTTTATTAGAAACGAATTACCTTTCCAGATTGCTTTTCCCTTTAAAATTTACAGTTTGCTTCAAAAACTGTATATATATAAAGTAAAGAACTTCATATTATAATAAATGAAACGAAGTAAATAAATTTAAGAAGATGATATTTATTAGAGGTATTTTAGAGGAATATAGTATGGCAGCGGATGCAGGTTGATCGATCCAGAGGCTGACAAAGACAAATAGCTGTTGAGGCCAAGGTGGATAATAGGTTTGCCATGTCAGTTATCTAATTGAGTAACTAGTTCTTGTCCAATCATCTTCGACACTCGGCTTTATCGGTTACTGTTAGAGGTTTCAACAGGCAATGCGTCTTCATTAAGAGTTACCCTAGCATCCAAGTGATCACAGTGAAAGCATCAGCCTGTTTGGATATTTTTAAATATGAGCTGATGACGGATTTCAGCCAATATTGAGCTAGCTCCTAAACTCAGCGCTGATGGCATCGTTTATCCCTGTTTAGAAATGGATTCCACCTCATCGATGAGTCCATCGCTGCGTATTTAACTGAGTTAATTAACTTGCCCCAGTATATCCTAAATTATTCAGCGACTGGTGGATTAAAGTAAATATCGATTTATCTGCTATCTCTTTTGAACATAGTATATACTAAGGACTGACATAAAATCATCGTGCAAGACTCAAATGATCTACTTCGACATTAACTTGAATGAAAACGCTCAAAACTTTCGATATATTACAAATAATTACTTGAATCACTATGGCCAGAATTAATTTGAAACTACGTAGTTGCTGCTTTCGGCTTGACGAATTCCAATATTTTCTCTTGTACATGATCTTTAAAATTAAAAATCGGCTGTGAAAATTGTCATTATACAAAGTAGAGTAACTCAGTATGGATGAGGTACTGAATATCTAATTAGAAGTCATGGGTCGAAATTGGCTCTGGTAGAATATTTATTTTCTGTTAATCCTATATCAGAGCGGCTATAGGGTTGTGAGACCTTTCTGGTTCGCACAAGACACTTTGTAGTGCA